GTTTGGAACCCGTTTTTTGCAGACATCAAAATTCCACTACAGTGCATTCTGACACAAATGTGAATTATTAACCCAATTCCATTCCAACATAGGTGGGACCCCACTTCCTTTCCACACCAATTTTGCAAACACGTTCCACTGCCCCTTGTTGCCAACATTGACTTTTCAAAATAATGCCTTTTGTTTTTTCCAATATTGCCCTCCAACTCACATGGGATAGGTTGAATATTTTAATCAATCTCATGAAATGCAAATTGGACGTGAAATCCATTTTGAGTTAATATTGGAAATTCATTAACACCTCCAAATAACGTTCCATCGATATATTGATAACATCCGCTATTGAAATACGGGAAAACAAATCGAAAATGACTTGTTCGAAACACTTATAAACGATCTCGCATACATCGACATACTTAACAACAAGAACTAATACGATACTCCCCGAAAAAAAATAATACGTGATCTACAACGACTAACGTAATACTTGCGCCATGTAATCGCGTAGCTGCATCGACGGCATGTACTCCTCAACTATTGCATCTAGCTCTGCGACAATTTCATATTCTTCATCAGGTAGAACTCTCTCGACTTCGTCGTCATAAACAGATCTATATCGANGGCTCGTTGAAAACCATCATGCAGCCACCGTTTCTCCGAAGGAAGTTATGTATACCCATGCTGGCCACGACAACAGCTGTTTGCGCTCTCATATTATACCTAGGCATTCTATCAATTATCTTCCATCTCTGTTTCCAAACACCGAAGGCACGCTCAATAACGTTGTGGCATGATGAGTGATGAAAATTCAACCGCTCCCGTGCATTTCGGAACCGACGGCGTTGTCTTCCCCTTAGGTTACTGAATTCTTGAAAATGATATCGTATATCAGAGCCCTTATATGGAGCCATGTACTCAGGCCGATGTGCGAATCCAGAGTCAACCATATAGTATTTGCCGTTCGCGGGTTGGGGAAAATTTATTTCATCACTATGCACAGCACGGGCCAAAATTCGGCTATCGTGTGTGTTGTCGGTAGTTCCCGGCAACACAAACCTAAAACATAGATTGAAATCACAGGCCGCCAGTACATTCTGGGTCGGAATCCCCTTTCTGCCAATCTAAATCTCTCTTACATTGCGTGGCAGGACGGCTTGCACATGGGTTTCGTCTATCGCACCAATGCAATCCTGTCATAATAATATGTATAATTATGAAGATAACATTAAAATCGTAAAAACAATTACGATCCGAAGATGATGTACGTCATGTGAGGTATTCACCTGGAATAGAGGATATCTTTCCACGTTTGGATGATGGTGAGCAGCCCCTTCGTTGTACTGTGGATCTGGTTTAATCATGGTTGCCGCGAACGCCACGTACGCCCGCAGTACCTTCTTAAAGTAATGGCTGATCGTCTGCAACGAATAGTCGAACAAGGTTTGGACTTGCCGATACCCTTTCCCGTGTGCTAGAATACACAAGAACATTCCCACTTGTTCGTATATGTCAATGTTTGCACTGCTGCAAAGTTCGTACTCGTCGCGCAGGATGTGCGTGAAGTACATAAACATTGGCGGGTACATCCTGAACTCCTGGAAACACGTTTGTGGATACACATGCAAATTTTGTAGCATGAAAACGTGGCCGCATCGTGTTGTCGGGAATAAAAACCTGCGTGCTGTATTCGGTGCCAAGTACTCGCGGACTATTTGGTGTGCGATTCTACAAAACTGAAGCCAAGTGTTAATGTCATCCTCTAACTGCTCCATCGCATCTTCATCTGAACCACTATCCGCATCAGACATCGACTGAACGTCGCAGTCTGTTTCCGAAGATGTGTACGCATCTGAAGTATCAGACATCGTTTTGAGTTACGAACAAGATTGCTTGTCTCGTGCAGTTGCCATTTATAGAATTTCAACCACAGGAGTACTAATAATTTTAAGTTCTGTGCGTTGAATTGCTGATATAGCCTATTTGTTTTACTGAACCAATGGTAGTGACGACAAAACCTCTACTACAATTGATGGGAATATATTCCTTTTAGCCCATGGCCCCTTGTCTTGTTGAAAAATTTATGCAAATTAGTGGGAGCAATAATGTGCTTGTTTATCCCTTCGCAATTGATTATTCCCTGCAGCCTATACCCTATTATTCTGTTGCACTAATGAATCACAAGGGTGAGAGGAATAATGTGCATTTGGAAAAAAAAACATGAAATGATTTATGACAAGAAATAATGTGCACCATTGTTTAGGGTTTGTAGTCTATACTCTATTGTTGTTTTGTAAAAGTTAATCAAAAGGGTTGAAGTAATAATGTGCGTTTCTGGAAAAATAAAAACGAACCCTACCACATAAAATCGTAAATACAATTGTTTCTATACCCTTCACAGCCGAATTTTATGACATTTAAAA